CCTGGAACTGGCTCTTGTAGACCAGGCTAGCCTCAAATTCACAGAGATCCTCTTGCCTCTGCCTCCCGAGTGCTGGGATTAAAAGGCGTGTGCCACCACTGCCTGGCACAGGAAACCCTGTCTTGAAAAAAAAAAAAAAAAAAAAAAAAGCAATGCTCTTAAACTGTGGGCCATTGCTCTGGCCCCTGTCTTAGTTTGCTGTTTTTGAACTATAATTCATCATTTAGCATGGAGTTACTTTTTTTTAATTAGTGAGTTCAGCAGCTGTGTTCATGTTCATTATAGAAACAGTTTACTTCAAGGTTAGGATTTTTTTCTAGTTAATTGAGGAAGGTAGACTCAGCTTTGTTTTGTTTTCTTGGTTGTTAGTTGGCCAAGTGGAAGACAGCTGAGGAAGTGGCTGCCCTGATTCGATCTCTGCCTGTAGAGGAACAGCCTAAACAGATCATTGTCACCAGGAAGGGCATGCTGGATCCATTGGAGGTGAGAGGTGGGCACAGTAGAAGAAAGTAGGCCTGAGCCCTCAGGGCCTCCTTCTGACCTTGGACTTTGCCTTAGGTGCACTTGCTGGACTTCCCCAACATTGTGATCAAAGGGTCAGAGCTCCAGCTCCCCTTCCAGGCTTGTCTCAAGGTGGAGAAGTTTGGGGATCTCATCCTTAAAGCCACAGAGCCCCAGATGGTTCTCTTCAACCTCTACGATGACTGGCTCAAGACTATCTCATCCTACACGGTAATTTGACACCTTAGGAAGAGGGTCTCTCTGGGGTGGATTTGGAACCAGGAGAAGATACTGCACCTCAGGGTTCTCCATAACCATCTGATGAGGTCATTTTCAAGTTCTTGAGCTATACATACAAAGAGTGAGGCCTCTTTTGACTTATGAGGGGTTGGCACCTTAAGAATTTGGAGATAGTGTTTGCTTTCCTGTGGAGGACATGGTAAGTAAGAGAGGAGAATCTCCACAACACTGATGATCTCTCCATGCTCTTGTATATCTCCTCTTAGGCTTTCTCCCGTCTCATCCTGATTCTGCGTGCTTTGCATGTGAACAATGATAGGGCAAAGGTGATCCTGAAGCCAGACAAAACTACTATTACAGAACCTCACCACATCTGGCCCACGCTGACTGACGAGGAGTGGATCAAGGTGGAGGTGCAGCTCAAAGATCTGATCTTAGCCGACTATGGCAAGAAAAACAAGTGAGTAGGAAGGGGCCAGGTGCCACAGTGCAGACATGGCAAGGTAGGCCACTCAGGACATAGGTTTTGAGGTTTCGAACTTTTAGATTTACAAGTTTCTCAGATTTTTTTAGCTGTGTTTGGTAATGCATGCCTGTAATCCCAGCATTTTTTAGGTAGAGGGAAGTGGGTCAGGATTTCAGTGTTATCTTCAAGTACATGAGTTAGAGGTTAAACTGGACCACATGAGGTCATGTCTCAAAAGAAAAATAGTGTCTCAAAGAGTTGCTTAGGAAGACATGTAGTCAATATTTAGTCTCACCATTGACTACTAATTCTCAATGAAAGTACTGATGCCATTTTGAATAGATGCATGGTTTTTTTTTCTTGCTCTCTTGATTTCTCTTGTGACAGGGTTTCATTATGTCTCCCAGGCTGGCTTTGAACTCCCAACAATACTCTTGCTTTAACTTCACAAGTGCTGTATTATTGGTGTGTCTCACTATACCTAATTTGGGGTTTTTGTTTTTCGAGAGTTGTCCTTTGTTGGGGCAAATTTTGTGGAGGAAAAGTAAGAGTTACAGATGCTGAATAGAAAGATAAAAGTACATGTGCTTGGGATGCAACAATTCTGCACCACATCACTGCATCTCCATTTCATGCTTTTCTTAGAAGTGTCAATTAAAGGGTGGTTTGGAATAAAGGTGCTTGCTGCTAAGTCTTAGGACCTACTTCAATCCCTAGAACCCACAAGATGGAGGAGAAATCTCCCATGAGTTGTCCTTTGACCTCTATACTTGCACTGTGCTATGTCCGCCTCCCCCAGAGTAAATAAATTTAAAAATTAAAATTTAAAAAAAAAGGAATATTACTTGAGGATTAGCATTGGCAAAGTATGCCCTGTCTGCCAGGTTTTACTTTGCCAGCAAGGCAAAGTGACTAGGGGGAGGGATCCTGTTTAACTTACAGTGTCCCCACAGTGTGAATGTGGCATCACTGACACAATCAGAAATTCGAGACATCATCCTAGGAATGGAGATCTCAGCACCATCACAGCAGCGGCAGCAGATAGCTGAGATTGAGAAGCAGACCAAGGAGCAGTCACAGCTCACTGCCACACAAACCCGAACTGTCAACAAGCATGGTGATGAGATTATCACCTCCACCACTAGCAACTATGAGACCCAGACCTTCTCATCAAAGACTGAATGGAGAGTCAGGTACTGTGGAGGGCAAGAAGGTAGGGATGGACAGGCCCATCAATGTTGCTGGGTGTGCTCGGGCTGATGCTGACACCCCTGTCTGTTCTTTAGGGCCATTTCAGCTGCCAACCTGCATCTTCGGACCAATCACATTTATGTTTCATCTGATGACATCAAGGAGACTGGTTATACTTACATCCTTCCCAAGAATGTACTTAAGAAATTCATCTGCATATCTGATCTCCGTGCCCAAGTGAGTAAACACACAGCTGGACTATAGTGTGAGCCCAGTTAATCTGTACCTAAATCTCACTCGATAATTCCAGGAACTTTGAGGTGCTGGTTTCAAGATTCATGGATGAATGAATAGATTGAAAAAGACTGCACAGCCTTTAATTCCAGAAGCAGGCGGAGCTCAGAGTTCCAGGCCAGCCTGGTCTACAGAGCAAGTTTCAGGACAGCTAGGGCTTGAAAAACCAAAAAAGAAAAAGACAGCACACACAAGAGGGTATCAAAACATTTCACAAAGCTATGATAATAAAGAGAAAGTATTATTGGGGTAGGATTTACTGGCAGAGAATTACAAATAGATTCAGATAAGTGCATAGTTGGATCTTATTACTGCATACTTTTATGATTTTGAGATAGGAAAGAGCACTAAAGTATTAGAAAATACTGATAATCTTAGTGTTGAGAAAACCATTCATAGCATTAAACACAATCAGAATAGTGTTTAATGGGCATAGTGGTGCACTCTTTAATCTCAGCACTTGGACAGCTGAGGCAAGAGGATTGCTCTAATTTTAAAAGCTAACTTTCACTACAGACTGAGACAACAATTCTCTCCTTGTTTGCTATGGTGACACAGACCCATGACCCAAGCTTCTGAGAAATAGAGGTGGCTGATGGAAAGTTCAAAGCCAGCTTCTGTGGTCCAGCCAGTACAAATGAGACTTTCTTAAGGAAATAAATGAAAATCCATTGCAAACTTATATGAAATGTCAAACTGGTGAAATGACTCTGTAGGTAAAGGTGCTTGTTGCCAAGTCTACTAGCCACAGTTTGAGTTCCAGAATATACATGGTAGAAGGAGAGAACTGACCTCTGTAGATTGTCCTGTGACCTCCATGTGTCCAGTGTGACACACATGTACACTCATGCATATATACACACTAAATAAGAACATTTTTAAAAGTTTTAAAACAAAAAACTCAAAAATTGTCCTTGGCAATAAATGGCTCAAGAGGATTTGAAAAAAAGTGTGCTTCGGGCTGGAGAGATGGCTCAGAGATTAAGAGCACTGACTGCTCTTC